ACAATATTCTAATAAAATATATGTAATAAATTTCAGTTATAAAAATAAAATAATATACACACGAATTTTATACACACACACACGCACACGCACACGCACACGCACACGCACACGCACACGCACACGCACACACACACACACACACACACACACACACACACACACACAACAATGAGAGGAAACAAGGCAAATTCGGCCTAGATAGTTGTCCAATAATATCCTTAATTTTAAATCTTTAAATTTTAGCTATTGTAAACTATGCGCCGATTATATTGATCTTTAATAACGCAATTATAAAGCTGAAATATTATCACAAATTAAATTGATTGTCAATTCGATGATGATGCTACAAGCATTTTAAATACTGTTAAGAACTACAAATGTATATATTGAAATATATACATGTATATATACAAATAAATAAATATAAAATATATAGGTACATAAATATGTGAATATATAAAAAAATATATAAATTATTGTATTTAAAGTCATATATAGAATATATAACGAACACACTCACATATACCTGCACACAGAGTAGTCTCCGTTTTAAAACTTTTGAGGGGAATGGAACGTTTCCCCAGAGATACCATAACATTACGTCGCTTTTCCCGAGAAATTGTTATTGCATAGTGACAAATATGAACAGGTTTGACGCATCGACAATGTCAAGAATCACTCAAATACGTTGATTAGCATAATCGAGAGGGCCCGTTTCGTTTCGCAAACGTGGAAAAATCATGTCTCGGCCGTTAGGATCGATTCTTCGGCGTTTTCTCGTGTTACGAGGCGTGACGAAAGGCGAGTACGCTAACCAGTTTTACATCGTGCTCGGCACATGGGCGAGCTGCATCAGCACGGCCACTGGCAGCCAAGCGTGCACCAATCTAAAATTCAATCCTGAAAACGTTCGTTCGATCTTCGCAATCCTTAATAGCGCGATTTATTTTCAACGATACAAGCAGATCTTTATTAACGTATATCGATATAACTATTATTCTATCTTTTATTTGTATTTTTTTATTCCTAGTCTACATAAACTACGTACACCATTTTTAATTTAAATACCATCTTTATTTAAATACCTCGTTATTGTACCCATTGAATATAACGGATGCAATAACGGAGACAAGACAACGACAGAAGAGAACATATGTTTTCTTGAAAGCAATTTGATTAATATCGTACGATGCACGTTATAAAAAAAAATGAATGTAACAACGATTTTACTCGTGATATTACGATGACGATCCGAGGTGTAATATTTTTTAAATGCTGTAAATTATTTTCTTGGATTGGGTTATTAATTAAACCGTTTTCCGCTGTTGCAGGAGATATTACGCAGAAGGGTTATGAAAAGAAACGGACGCGTCTACTTCAGCAATACGCCTCGAAGCAGATAGGTGAGTGTTTCGCTTTTCTAGAATTCATTAAAACTCCCGTAAGTAAGCAGCGAGGAGATATCATCGCGCGTTATTCGCGATAATGCAGTACGCGGAGCGGGCGGAGAAGTCAGCGATGTGAAAATATTATCGCCCCACATGTTCAGTCACATTATTCGATCGATCCCGCATAGAGTCGCGTTATACATTTCGGAGCGGGACTTTTTTTTTTAGACAAGACTCGCGGCATTTTGATGGAAGTTCTTTCTTCTTAATTTCCTCGACGAAGCCTGTATTAATTGTATCCCGTAACATATTTAGTTTACGAAGAAAGTACGTAAATCTTTTTTATTTTATACAATTGGGTGATACAATTAGATGATACTTTCTCAGACGAAAAAAGAAATTACTTCCCGTTTCTAACTCGCAAGTCTTATCTCTCTCGTCGCATCTTTGGTGTGCGCAATGTTGCACCATCGAGCTCGCAACGAGCAGCTCGCAATATCAATCGCGTTCCGATTCTCAAGAAACACGCGCCTCATTGTGTGCACAATGGCAAATGCAATCTGTATAAAAGGAAGGGACAGGATGCAATCGTTCGCGGCACGCGTCGCTTTAACGCGCTCGGCACCTTGCAACTGCAAACGTACAAGTACTGCTCCCGGTTGCGCCACGCGAGATGCGGAACGCGGCTCGGGAGAAAACTCAAGAGAAAATTGCGTTGTAACAAGAAGGATGCGCCGGCCTCGCATCGTGATTTTATCTTATGTTTATTTTACGAAGGACGTTCGCCTCTTACTCTTCAAATGGGATTATTTCGAGCTCCGTGAAAATCCGTATGGGAACGAATTTCAATCGTCGATCGTCGAGCGTTTCCGCATCGCTTATCGCGGGCGCAAAGTGTAACGCGAATCGTTTCCGAGTTTCGCCAACCGTTACCGCAACTGTCGCGACTGCAAGCGCGAGACTTCGTCTTATCGTCGCAAATTACCGGAGACGGAACTATCCTGACGTTACCACACGTCATTTGCTGGCCCGCGCAGGCTGCATTCCGTGAACGCATCTCTCGCCGATGCGCCCCATTGCGTATCCATTTAACCCTTTCACGGTAAGATATTCTTCATTTTTAACAGTTTAGAACAAATCCACGGAGCTAATATATTTTTGCTAGTTTAAACTGTTTAACTCTTGGTTATTTTTTTAGAGGAACTTATATGACAAGAAAGAATTAATATAATTTTTCGTTTAAATCAGTGATGTTTTTTTCCCTCGAATAAACAAATTTAAAAAGATTAAACTAATTATAGAAGTAGAGAAGATTCAACAGAAAAGATATTATAGTAAGGAGTTATAGAAATTGTAGTTGTAGCGAAGAAAATAGATACTTATTAGTACTAAAATTTTTACTTAAAGAAATAGACAAGCAGTATTTGTTTTGTTATAAAAACATTTTTAATAATAAAATTAAGATGTAAAATTGTAATTAAAATACTGAAATAATGAACAATGGGATCCTAAATAACTATTGCAGTCTGCGCACCTACATGGTGGCCAAGATTTTAGCTTCGGTAAATTATTTGAAATAAAAATGTAGATATTTTTTAAATTTTGTTATTTTTGGTTTCCGGAGGGAATTTGTAAAAATTTTACTTTTCGTGAAACTAGATTAAACGTAGGATATTTAAACGTAGGAATTACATTTTCTTTAAAAATTTTATTCTTTTGTTACAACTTGAGAAAAAGACTTAACAAACAAAATATTATAAAAAATTATTTAAAAATTTTAAATTAATTATTTAAATCGTATTTTTGAATTATTGCTATCGTTTTTAAACATAATATTTCGAGAAAAGCGCATTTAAAATTTTGAAAAGTAAATTTCGTAATTTTTGATAATTACTACTAATCTATATTTATTTTTATGTCAAACTAGTGGAAAGTAAAAAAAATTTAGATTTTTTTTAATTTATGAAGTTCTATGAGTATATAAATCTAAATATAAATTTTAGTTAATTATTGTAAATTTTAGTAAATTATTGTTTACTGCTTTAAAATCTCCCCCATGTTAAGGTAAAAGTCCAGTTAGAATTGATGATAGACAACGTATAACATTTGAGAATCGCATACTTTTTCATGGAGCCACCCCGTATAGTTAGACGGACGCGCCTTTGCGCCCGCAGCTGCGATCGGTAGAACCGCTGCAATCGGCTTGCAGTTTAACTGTACCTGCACACGGAAGAAGCGCTTCCGCGTTATCCGCTCGTTATATGCTACGTGCATCTGCCATTGTCGTGAGCGCGAGTCGAACTAGCGACAGTTTTCTAGCCGATATGGCTAAAAGTCAAATAACGGAAAATTCTTTCATATTATCCTTGGTGCGATTCAGGCGAAACGTCATAGTCCCTATGATTAATTTTTAAGACAAAGTAAATTATTATGACAGCATTGCACCACCAAAAAAAAAATGCATCGCGTAAAAAGGAATCAGCTGCAGCATATTCCGCCTTAATGTCTTTTACCGTATTTACTTTCGTGGCGGTAACGATAAAAATATTTGTCGTTCATTTAAATGTTTTATCATCAGTATGAAAAGTTATCAGTTTTACGTAATAAGCTAACAATAAGATAAAATAAAATGGTGGAAAAGTAAAAATATGAACGTTTAATACATTCCATTCAGGCCGTGTGCACCAAAACATTGTTTATTATAATAATATTTAAGATAAAGAGATGCGATGTAAAAGAATAAAAATAAATCTAAATAATTAGTGTGATTACCGTGAAACTTCGATAATTCAAACCTTTGCAACTCAAAAACTTCTATAAAACGAAAATTTTGTTCATCCCCTTCCGTTTTGCTGCAGAAAACCTCTATAAATCGAATTAAACCTATCTTAACTTGAATTATTTGTTAGGCATTTAGATATATATTTTACTTCTATAACTTGAATTTAAAGTAGTCAGATCTCTACAATTCGAAGTTTACCTCTATAAGTCAAACTTCCATTGTCACTACTTTTATAATTCGAAGTTGTAACTATGTGTAACCATGAGTAATAGCTTGGTATTTTGTTTTATGGTTACATTTATCATATGTATGCAATAAATTTACTGTTAAATATTGATTTTTTTACTCTAAAAGTTATTATAATCGGAAAATTATAAACTCTCGTACAAAGTACTCCATAAGTCGAATTTTCATATGTTAACTCTCTTAAAAGAAATATACAAAATATATTAATAGAATATATGAAATAAACATGTAAAAATATATAAAACAAGTCACAAATATTAGATATATAAATTTAATTTTAAGAATTATTTATGATTTATTCAAATATTACAATATATGAATAATTAAAACAATATATTGTTTTTTTAATTAAAACAAACTAACTATGTAAATATAAGTAATGTTTACTTTTAGAATTTTTTAAATAGATATAATGAGTGCAAGATCTTAATGAATATGTGCATAATACATAACGTGTAAGGCACGAGATAAAATACTATCAAAAAATTTAAATAAATATTTGTATGTAACATAATAATAACTGAAAGCTGACCACAGGTGGTACATGTATATGATAACTGCTAATTACGTATAAATTAATAATATTATGAAATATTTTATGTTATATCTGCTTGTGCGCAAAATATCAAATGGCCTGAATGAAAAGTTCAATGCGTTCATCTTACCACCAGCGATACGCGCGACGCGGAGCGCGTTAAGAATCGAGAAAACGCACTGTGCATACGCGCTTGTGTGGATCGTAGGGGCTGGAAATGGTGGTATTGGTGGTGGAGGTGGTGGTGGCGGCGACAGCGGCGGCGGCGGCGGTGGCGGCGGCGGCGGCGGTGGTGGTGGCAGCGGCGGAGGCAGCGGCGGCGGCGGCGGCGGCGTTAGTAGAGGGCTGGAGAGAACGGGTTACGGAAGCGGAGGAGGTGGCGGTGGCGGTGAAGGAGGTGGAGGCGGGGGAGGAGGGGGCTATGGCGGCGGCCGACCGCAGCCACGTGCACGGCGCACGCAACGGCGCGTCACGCACAACGAGAAGCGCTATCACTCAGGTAGCGCCATGCATTACGTACGCTCGTGAGTGAGCGTATCTCCCGAGTTGTGGCGAGCGGGGAACGTTATTGATTGTGTGTCGCAATTTTTGCTTTGATTTCAGCTTTTTTAGCTTTTAGCCCTTTCGTCAAACTGTAGATATTTATTTTATAGCTTTTTTTTTTTAAGATTAGAACACGTAGAATTCAGCAATTTACAAAGGATTCTTTAATCACCGTGCGCATTTCATTTCTCTATTTTTATGCAATTTCTGCACGGATACACACGTGTATGTACACACGAATGACACGAATGACACAATTCTATAGCTACAAGTATGATACGACTCCTCCTCTCACCGTCGAAATTGTTCTTGTTGAGAGAACGACGACATATATATTCCCTTGCTTCAATCTCGTGTTTTTATCTGCATCCATCATGTTTTTTTTCCATTCAAATTTTATAGAAATAGATGTACTACAACCCGCTTCGAATAGTTATACCCCCATTTTTTCGCACACTATGGAAAATTGAGAGCAAATAAGTTTTTCGTCCGTCGTGCCGCTTGCACTTCTCTCCTTCGTGTATAGCCTGTCTGCTTTATCTCCCTGACTCTCTCGCGTGTGTTGCCTCGAGACGCTTTTGCACCTTTAGATACCTTTGTAATTTGACATAGCCAGGCGGTAGCCGAGACCGGTTGTTCCACCTTCGGGTGACTCAAGATTGCAGCCAGCCGGCCGGCCTGCCATCCGTCGACATTCTCACTATTCAACCGACTGCGTCGTGTATCCGCGAGCGTGCAACACTTCCATTTTTCACGTGTCTCCCCCCCCCCCAATCATCGATATGAGATTCTTGCTTGCGTAGATCACCGCGAGATCGCAATACCACAGAGATCTGCATTATACATTTTACGATAGGGATCTTTGATGTTGTGGCATTACCTCGCGGTATCTCGATATTGATTACAGAGTCAGAGGTAGTCCTGACTTTCAGGAAGATTTTTTTTTATTTTATTATTTTTTAAAATTCTTTTTCACGCAAGACGCGGTTTGATCGGGACTTTGATATCACCGTTCGATAGGTGGTGCGTGGTAAATTCACATAATAGGACGATCGGCACGATTTTTCTCGAAATCACTCGGCGATTATTCCAACTGAATCACGCCACCGACCGGCCTTCCTCCTCCTCCTCCTCCTCGTCGAGCCACAGACGATCGATACGAGTTCACATTCACGAGACGCAGCATCTGATGGTGGAATGACCAGCCATCGCGCAATGGCGCAATTAGACAATTATTTCTCGCATCTGGAGATAAATAACACTCTATCGTGGCATGTAAATCATGGAGAATCCACTGGTGGGCCTTCGCGAGGGCAATACTTAACCGCTTGGAACCGTGAAGATCCACGGATCCTCGAGTCTATATCTGATTCTTGATTTTATACTTTTGATATCAAGGATAGATTTATAGACTTACGATCCGTGAGATCGTTAACCTTTAGAGAACATGGGATCTATTTTTTCAAATCGTACAACTATTACTTGCTATTCCATGAGCAAGATTTATTATAATTTATTGCCTCAAAAATATGATATTATTTCATTATTGTGGTTTCCCGTTTATAATGATCGATATTTAAATCGGCAGATTTTCCGAAGATTTGTTATGAGAAATTATTGAGTTTGCTGATTTTTTTTAAATATATCAAAACTTTAAAATTTAAAAAGACATTTTCAAAATAAGAAATCTAATGTAGCAACTTGTCAATTAGAAAAATGAATTTTTATGAAATTAACGTCATTGATTTAAATAGATATAGGTATATGTCAAATTTTGAAAATTCTAAATAATATATTCAAAACTTAAAATGGCAAAATAATATGGCGGACATGAAAATAAATAAAACCTTGAAAAGTAGGAGATTTGAAGGTCTGCAGAGTCATAATATATAATTTTAGATTTAATTGTAATTTTCAGCTTTTAAAATGGAATTAAAGAAATGAGTAGATTCTCGTTCTTCATCCACGGCTAGGATTTGTTATATGATACATGTAGAGATTCCATAAATTGACTTTACATTGTTTCTTGTTTTTTTAAATATTACTTAATATTAGAAATGTTAGAAATTCGGGATCGAATTGCTAAAAGAGCACACATCGAAATCCCAAGCTTGTAATATGAAAAATAGAACAACACCACCATAGTGGCTCCCCGTCCTCTAAAGGTTAACATGAAAATAGTTGAATTCGCTTCTTCTAAGCTAGCTTTCCGTTAGATCTAGAAACTGGAATTGACTTGTTTACCTGACGGTTAACGATAGCAAAGTAGACAGAGAATGTATTAACTCCCAAGCGTTTCCATGTTCGACACCGATGTTTGAGTGCTCGTTTATTCCGAGCGTGACGGGACCGTGAGGGAGAGTGAACGATGACAACTCTTGCGCCTCGCAGCCAATGCAATCTCGTAGCATTCCTTCTTTGTCTATGTGCCGGTGTTGTTGTTGTGTTGCATGCAGGCGGTCGACTAGCACCTGGAGGAATCGCCAGTCCCCCGGGTTCTGGCGGCTCCACAGGGAACACTGGGAACTCGAACTCGGCTGCTGCGGCGGCGGCAGCAGCGGCAGCAGCTAGACGCGGTAATCGCAGACTCACACGCAATGAGAGCCGTTACCATTCCGGTGAGTATATACCTCTGGCATTAGATACCTATACAAGGACCATTCAGGTAGCAACAGTGGGTACATCGTTAATTTATCAGCTCCATTTTTACTGTTTGAAAATTATACAAACCCGAGAGGTCAACCACTATGGCAATCAGTGTACATTTCTTTAGGAATATATTGCCTGTATTGCGGCAGTACAATACTAGCAATACGCTATCAATACATAGCAATACATCGAGCAATATCTAGCAATACATTAGCAATATTTGGCAATATTTTGCAATAGGTGATAGTGTATGAGGTAATACGGCAGTACATGAGATAATAGATGGCAATATTACTGACAATACGAAAGCAATACAATAGCAGTACTAACAATAAATTGTGTTGTATTGCCATAATTAGCAATCACTACATTTTTTTAAGTAATGGTTGACCCCTCGTACAAATGCTCGAACAAATACACCTTTTCTTTTGTAGCCTTATAGCGAATGTTAAAGAGAAAATGACAAGGAGAATAGAAAAAAATGATATTTACAAAAATCTATTTAAATAATATTGCATGAAAAATCACAATCTAGGCTTTTGTTGGTTTTTTTTATGTCCGACGATTGAATAAACGCGAGTCCGGGTGTCATTATGTAACGTGAGTAACATTATTTATCTGTATGGGTTTATTTCATTTTTCTAGCTATTCTAGTTTCTTTAAATAAAATTCATCGGGCTTGACGTCCTGCTCCGCATTTACCCCTACGTTTCTTTCCCGAATAAAATGTCATTCCACATGACCGAGAGAAAAAAGCTCGCTTCGTTCGAAAGCGCCGATAGAAAGGTTCATTTATCTTAAATGCAAAGTGCAGGTAATCTTCCACCTGGTGCACCGTTACTAGTCAATGTCGACGGAGTGTCTCGTAGAAGATAAGCCGATCTAAGAACATACTTGCGTCGATAGAGTTGTGTACATGACGTTCAAAGAAAACATAGGAAATGTCAATGTAAAAATAAAATTTCGAAAAAACCGTAGAGAGTGTTTGTTAAACAGTAATGTTGTTTTACTCTGTTAACAATATATAGATATAAATATCTGTTTTATCTCACGTTTTACCTTTTTCTAATATCTATACATCGAGATTTTATACTATTAATCTGGAAAGAATAGCTATCTAATTTTTTTTCACAATTACTTGGAGCGATTTTTTTTCACTCTCAATTCCAATTAAAATATTAATTATATATTATTCTACAATCTATTAGTATTTGAGATTATTATATAGGGTGTCTCGAATTTAAACCTCAAAACTTCGAAGGGTGTAGGGAATCGAAACTAAGAAAAAAAGTTCTTTAGAGATGTGCTCGTTTTTGCTTTGTTTTGGAGAAAATAGCGAAAAAAAGACAAAACGTAGTTCTCATTTTTGTACTTATTTATTATTTATTTACTCACGTTGTCACTTGCTTAATGTAGATATTGTTCAATATGTTGGCCTCTTGCAACAATGCAAGTATTACATCTGGTATGGACAGCTCGTATTGCAGCTAAACACTAATCTGGTAATATTTGATACATTGCAGTCACGATTGCGACCTCTCAATTGCTCTTTTGAGTTCACTGGCAACGAATAAATTTTCTGCACCCCCCCCCCCCACCACACATACACCCAAGTCAAATCAGATGATCAGGGTGACCAAGATATCACTTATCCACATCCAATCCATCGTCGTGGATAATTTCTGTCTAGCCAAGCTCGAGTAACCAAGCTCTACCATAATGAGCTGGACACCCATCCAGCTGGAACCACATTTCAATCTGTAGCTGCAGGTGAATGTCTTCTAAATAATTAGAGAAGTTGTTCTCCAAAAAATCTATATATCTGAATGTATTTAATCTTTTAATTAAATTATTGCTGCAAGAGGTAACATTTTAAACAATATCTATATTAAGCAAGTGATAACGCGAATAAATAAGCGTAAATGAATAAGTACTAAATAAGTACAAAAATAAAAACTATGTTTTACCTTTTTTGCGATTTTCTCTAAAACGAAGAAAAAACGAGCATATCTCTAATTTACTTAATATTTTCTAAAGAAAGTAAGGAGAAATAAGAAAAATAGATATGCAGGATTCTCAGTCAGTTGACACTGACAAGCTTTATTTTCTCGCTACTGAAATAAAACTCAGCCTCCAGATGGTTATTCCCAAATTAATATATGAAATTTTTGCCGAAATTAATTATATAATTACCGATAAAAACTAAATATGTATGAGACACCTTGTATATGTCGACGTTATAGGACGCGAGTACAACTTTGTAACGAGCCACGTCCTGGTATTGCATGATGTCATAATAACGATATGGGTGCGCTTCACCCGGAAATATATGGCAACCAACTCAGTGACCGAATGTTACCTGCATTATATTGCAGTTTATGTGCGACAGCACTCGTTGCATCTATCGAAAATAGAAAATCATTAATTAATTTTATTCTAATCGCGAGTAAAAAAAACTGAATGCGGAGAATCGAAGTTGCTTGAGGATTTATCTGTTTAATTTTATTAAAAAATGTGCTAATAGTTCAATATAGATAGCATCAAACGTTTGGACTTTAATTTAGAATAACATACAATTTCTACATTTCCAGGAACTGTTATATTTTATGTTATTATATTTTTATTTAACTGTTATATTTTATTCTAAATTAAAGCTAAAACATTTCAATTTTATATGTCTGATTAGAAAAAAAAATTATTATGTGTTATTTTACAAAAAAGTTTGCTCTATTTAGAAAACATCAAGATTTGTTTTATGTGCGATTTGAACGAACATTAACGACAAACGAATCCTTTTTTTCATGTTTTTTTACATGGTACCTTTTTTAAAGTATAATAGTTGCAGACAAGGCAATTATAGTGATTTTGCGTCAATCAATAGATACGCTCGAAATGGAATTAAAGGAATAAGTAGTCTGCACATCTTGCAAATGGCAGCATGAGAAAAGAGATTCATTTATCTCGATGTGTGTGTTTGTATATCTAGAAGAAAATTACGTGTGTCATAGTGTATTGCTACAGTGTCTACTCAATAACCTTAATTTAACTGTTCAATCTTTCCAAGTCTAAGCATCTTATCTCGCAAATCCTACACACGCACACACACACACACACACACACACACACACGCGCGCGCGCGCGCGCGCGAGCATTACGTTAGATCGTCAGCAAGAAAATGTACGATACGCGATACGCATGAACCACGTATGTATGAATAGCATCGAAAGATGATGAACGGATGATGATGCGGAAGTAAGACCATCAAGTGTCTGCACGTATCATCCGTTCTCGTTGGCCATTTAAGTAATCAATTCTTACGTGTTTAGAGGTGCGCCAGGAGGCGGTGCAGCAGGCCTTGGCAGCGATGCAGGGACGACCAAAGCCATCCTTGCCAATGCCATCTAAGAGAACCTCCGTGATGGCCAGAAGCCCCGATCGGGAGAGACGCGATAGCGGCGAGTCCAGTAGCGATGAGGATAGCGTCGTCACTGAGGAGAGTCCGGGCGCGGGTGGTCCAACCGGTAAAATCATTATTAGTCACATAGAATGACGACAAAACAAGTAAAATAGAAGCAATTCATGTTACGCGTCTGTTTTTATACCGAGTTGGTACATATATGGTTGAGATAAATACAAATAAATCGAGAATTATTTATATAAATATTTGTCGAATAAGATAAGTAAATGCAACGATATGGATAATCGGTATGTCACATACTATAGCAAATAAATTTTCGTCTGTTCTCTCGCATATGTTGAAAGAAAAAAAAGAACGTATAAAGAAAACGTATCGTATACGGTTCAAGCATCATGTGACTCCGCTAAATGCTGGCATCACGCGTCCTTGACTGTTTCCGCCGGACGATACGCCAATAATCAATACACATTATTTTTCCTTCAGTGTACAAGTGAAAAAAGTGGTTGAACCGTGCGCTGAAACGTGAAGGAACCCGCGTACGCTGTAACACGGTCGTCCTATGAAATAAGCTGTCTAATAACTGTGCAATAATTATTATCGATCTTGATAGGCACCGGTCTTTCGGATACCAGCAGTACTGGTTCCGCTCGCGACACTCCACCGCCACCCAGACCGCCGGCTAGGAGGCCACCAGGCGCCGACATTACCGACATCGCCGAATACACGCCGCACGCCTATTGTAATATTCAACCACCGGATGTTACTCACGTGACGAGTAGCACCCCGGTCGGGCAGCAGCAATCGGCAACGCGGCGGCCTGGCGCCGACCGGGTGAACCGTTATGCGCACGTAGTTGAGGATCAGAATAGTACCGGCACCACCGGCCGCTGGAAGGTCTCCGCAAAGATCCAGCAATTATTAAACACACTGAAACGGCCGAAGCGTCGGCCGCTACCAGAATTCTACGAGGACGACGATATTGAACTGGAAATCGCGGCAAATCCGAAGGATCCAAATGCTCCCAAACCCGAAGGTGGTTCCATGACATCGGCAGTAGGTGAGGCGCTCTCAGTGCCATCGGGCTTGCCACGATCTCTCGAAGCCGCCATTCAGAGGTGAGCTATATCAATGAGCCAACAATATTGCGTTCCATGGAGCTGATTCAAAACTGCAAGCGGAAATTCGTTTAATTATTATATTCAGCAATCCATAAAAGAATTTATTTTTCATGTTTAGGTACGGCTCGGCGACATACAAAGCGCCTGTGGCCACCGTCCTAGATCCTAACGGCAAACTTTGCGTAACGCTCACATACGGTAAACTGCTCAGTCGCTCTCACAAGATTGCCTATACCCTTCTAAATAAGGCTCTAAGTCGCGGCGGGGATTGCTGCCTGAAACCTGGCGACAGGATCGCCCTGGTTTATCCGAACAACGATCCGATCAGCTTTATGTGCGCCTTTTATGGCTGTCTTCAGGCCGGTATCGTGCCAGTACCCATCGAAGTACCTCTGACCCGTCGTGATGCGGGTTCTCAACAAATCGGGTTTCTCTTAGGGAGTTGTGGAATTCAGGTAAACGGAGTACCATTTTATGTTTTTTGTCTTATCCGCCAAGCAGCATTCCTTTCTATATTTGCATGTTTAATTAACCATACTGTCTTGCAATTTGCATTGCAATTTGCGCTGATGTACGTAACCGTGACAGTTCACTTGATCTTGGAAATCAGCAATGTCTTTATATCTTGATATTTTCAGGTGGCGCTGACTAGTGAAGCGTGTCTGAAGGGTCTGCCGAAGACGGCAGCTGGCGAAGTGGTAGCCTTTAAGGGCTGGCCAAAACTGCATTGGTTCGTTACCGAGCATCTAGGCAAGACGCCTAAGGATTGGCTGCCGCCACCACGGCTCACCGATGACACGCCTGCATATATTGAATATACCACCGACAAGGATGGCTCCGTGATGGGCGTGACCATTACCAGGGCAGCAATGATGGCCCACTGTCGCGCACTCACGCAAGCCTGTGGCTACACCGAAGGCGAGAATGCTGTCTGCGTGTTAGACTTTAAGCGGGAAGTGGGCCTCTGGCACAGCACTTTGACTAGCGTGCTAAATGGCATGCATGTCATTTTTATCCCTTATGCACTGATGAAAGTTAATCCCGCTAGCTGGATGCAGATGATCACAAAGCATCGTGCTAGTGTCGCGGTCGTAAAATCGCGAGATCTTCACTGGGGTCTGTTAGCAACTAAGGATCATAAAGACATCTCTCTGGCATCGTTGAGGCTGCTACTCGTTGCAGATGGTGCAAATCCCTGGTCTCTTTCGTCCTGCGATCAGTTTCTCTCAGTGTTTCAATCCAAAGGACTCAGGCCGGATGCTGTCTGTCCTTGCGCTTCCTCGAGCGAGGCCCTTACAGTTTCCGTGAGAAGGCCAGGACGCGCAGGAGTAAATGCGACTGGCCGTGGAGTTCTCTCCATGTCCGGTCTGAGTTACGGAGTTGTCAGAGTAGATCAGGAGAATTCTCTTACGTCGTTGACACTGCAGGATTGCGGACAAGTCATGCCTGGAAGTGAGTCTTTGCAAATTGATTGTTTTTACATTATGATGCATCTTAATCACTGTATATCTTTATATTTTTTACAGGTATAGTAGTTGTCATTAAGATGGAAGGACAGCCATTTATTTGTAAGACGGACGAAGTGGGTGAAATTTGCGTGCACAGTGCTGCGACGGGTAGCCAATATTGGGGCTTACAAGGGCTTACCAACAATACTTTCAAAGTATCGCCCTTACAAGTCGACAGTACTGTTTTGGGTGATGTAGAATATACGCGTTCTGGTTTGCTGGGTTTCCTTGGTCCTGGAGGACTCGTGTTTGTCTGCGGATCGCGGGACGGTCTCATGACAGTGACTGGCAGGAAACACAATGCCGACGACATTATCGCCACTGTTTTGGCGGTTGAACCAATGAAATTCATCTATCGCGGTAGAATCGCCGTTTTTAGCGTGAGAGTTCTTAGGGACGAAAGGATATGCGTCGTTGCCGAACAACGACCTGATTGTAGTGAGGAAGAAGTACGTTCTAGAATTAAATTTTATTCAAAGAAAAAGATAGAAAAACTTTTATTTAAAAAAGAAAAAGTGTCTGTCAGAAATTGACCTGAGCATCCTTTTTCATTTCATACAGAGTTTCCAATGGATGTCTCGAGTGTTGCAAGCGGTCGATTCAATTCACGCAGTAGGAATATATTGTCTTGCCTTGGTACCACCCAACTATTTGCCCAAAACGCCGCTGGGCGGCATTCACCTGTCGGAAACGAAACGCCGCTTCCTCGAGGGTGCTCTCCATCCGGCTAATGTGCTCCTCTGTCCTCACACATGCGTCACCAATTTGCCAAAACCGCGCGAAATCCATTCAGGTAAGTGAAGCAAAGTCTATCAGTAGGTATCGCGTCGATATCTTTCAGAACTGATAGGTATCGACGTAAACCTAATTAACGAGAATCACCAAACGCCAGCAAGCATTTTTTTCAAAAATGCCAGTTTTCTTTTGTATATTTAAAAAATAGAACTTCTATAATAAATGTAAATATTGGTGTAAAATATGTAAATAGAGAAAGATCAGATTTTTAATATAGAATGTGTTTAATTTAAAAATTAAACAGTTGATGTATTTAGATAAATGTTTGACATTGATACGAGTCAGAATAATCTGATGAATTGTTTTTAACTGAATTGCGTATGTGAATTGTCGAGAGTGATAGACGAAGTGAAACATAAATAAGAAGAGAAAATGTGTGTGTGTGTGTGTACGTGTGTGTGCGTGTGTGTGTGTGTGTGGGTGGGTGGGTGTGTATGTTTGTGAAATTGAAGGAAGAAGAGTAACAAAAAGTCGGAAAAATGTATTGATAACTATGAACTTAGTTCTTTCTAGAATTCTATTTATGTAGCACCAAGAAATTTCGTACATCTATACAAAATTGTTGGTAGGCTTCAGAAATCTGGCACACACACTTGCATGGTGTAATGTCTTTTGTACATACCGGTATTTCAAAGTAGATGTCTAAGAATCGCGATATAATTTATTTGTCTATTTATATATATTTATTTGTAATATCTTTTTTAATTAAATGAATATTTGGAGTATTTAAGTATTAACTAAGTGTCTTACAAGATTCAATTTATTAACGATTAAATACAAATATGCATCTTTTTGAGACACTATGTGGAGGATACGTTGTAACATTGTGTTATATCTTCATGGAAAATTTACTTGGGATTCACATTTGTTACAAAATATTGGAGATTAGATTAGAATACAACGTTATCGCATATCTTGTATTTTATTAACAATCCTTACACAGTTAATTTATGTACGCTTAGCATGTTATTTCATTTTTCCTTCTTTTGGCTGAGTTCCGAATATAGTTCCGAATATCCTAGTGTAGTAGTGTCCTAATTAAGTGCGAACATAATTTCACCGATTAGCAAAAGGTTGTCTTTTACTGAACTATTTTATTGCTGGAGAGACCTTTTTTTTAGCTTCTTGCATTTAATGCTTTTTTATACTTTCTTTTTTTAATTTCACGTTGGTATTTAATGTATAACGTAATCAATCTGGGATCTGTGTATAATTAGTTTGGACTGTACAATTAAAAGAAAGACATTTGGAAATTCAAGAATCCATGGATCCAAAGATTTGTGAATGCGCGTTAAAGCGTTAGACCTGTGGAGCGGAAGACCTATGAACGCTTATATTGTTGGCTCCGATGGCGAAAACCGATTGCTTTGATTTTTCCGGCCTCAGTCAGGGAAGAGTGTGTGAGCTACTCATTATTGGGTTGAGTGTTTGTGTTGGTTTACTAACGGAATGGTGCGGGGGCGTGTAGCGGGGGATTCTGTTGCAGATGTCGGTCCAGCCAGTGTTATGGTAGGGAATATTGTCCAAGGCAACCGATTAGCCTCTGCACAGGGACGAGATATGGGTGTCCTAGACGAGGACAGTGATAATGCCAAAAAGGTTTGTAAGTTTAATGAAAGCCTATTATACATATATGTATAGCGAGGAAGAGAGAAGAAAGAGCGACTTATTTATATATTATACATGTTCTTGTTCATCTTTTAGTACCAATTTATCTCCGAAATTCTACGGTGGCGCGCTGTCAGTACTTCGGATCATGTGATATTTACGTCGTTAAACGCAAAGGGCACCGTGGCTACCTCATTGTCCTGCTCGCAGTTGCATAAGAAGGCCGAGAGGATCGGGAATCTACTCTTAGATCGAGGAAGGGTCAACACTGGGGACCATGTAGCGCTCATCTTCCCACCCGGTACCGATCTGATATGCGCGTTTTACGGTTGTTTGTACGTTGGCGCTGTACCGGTAACCATCAGGCCACCTCATCCGCAAAATCTCCAAACGACCTTGCCGACCGTTCGCATGATTGTGGACGTCAGCAAATCCGTCCTCGTATTGACTAACCAAACTCTTCTCAAGTTGTTGAAGACAAAGGTAATTATGAAAATGTTCGATTGTAATGTCAATTGGAAAGCGATGCACGTCACTGATCGATGTTGTTGTTTCGCATAGGAAGCGAACAACGTGGTCGACGTGAAGAGTTGGCCGATGATTCTAGATATGGACGACATGCCAAAGAAGAAACTACCGGTGATGTATCGGGCACCCACCGCGGAAATGCTAGCCTATCTGGACTTCAGTGTTTCGACAACGGGCATGCTCGCCGGCATCAAGATGTCTCACGCGGCGGTCACTTCGTTGTGCCGTGCCATGAAGTTAGCGTGCGAGCTCTATCCCTCCAGACATATCGCTCTCTGCCTGGATCCATACTCGGGCCTCGGTTTTGCCTTATGGTGTCTCAGCAGTATATACAGTGGACATCATTCTATACTGATACCACCATCCGAGGTAAGTATCTCGATACCTGTGCTCAGTGAAGAGATTAACAATAACAAGTAAAAATCAATCGATATATGAAGAGATTTCATTTTATCGTTTTGTTGTCATTATCAGGTGGAAGCCAATCCTGCACTCTGGTTATCGGCGGTTAGCCAGTCCAGAGTAAGAGACACATTCTGTTCATACGGCGTTATGGAGCTATGTACTAAGGGACTCGGCTCCTCGGTTCACGCACTTAAGGCGCGAGGCGTCAGTCTGGCATGCGTGAGAACATGCGTTGTCGTCGCCGAGGAAAGGCCACGGATAGCGTTAACGACAAGTTTTAGTAAGCTGTTCTCCGCACTCGGTCTGAGTCCGCGCGCGGTCTCCACCTCATTTGGCTGCAGAGTGAACACTGCCATTTGTTTACAGGTAAAATTGATTGTCGGAATTAATCGAATTGGATCCTCAATATTTATTCTTATATTTCCTTGATTCTGTTCCGCAGGGAGCATCCAGTCCGGAACCCTCGACAGTTTATGTGGACCTTCGTGCATTACGTAACGACCGAGTATCTCTGGTGGAACGAGGCAGTCCGCATTCTCTGTGTTTGATGGAATCGGGCAAATTATTGCCCGGCGTAAAAGTAATTATCGCAAATCCCGAAACCAAGGGTCAATGCGGTGACTCGCATCTAGGCGAGATCTGGGTACAGTCGTCGCACAATGCGAGTGGTTACTTCACAATCTATGGCGATGAGAGCGATTATGCTGATCACTTCAACGCGCGACTGGTTACTGGTAATACGAGCGAGGTCTATGCGCGGACCGGCTACCTTGGCTTCCTGAGAAGGACCGAGAGCGTTCAGCAGTCGGTGATTAGCGACGTACCTGGTGATACTAACAATGTGCCCGAGGCTGATCTCGTGCCAAGCGACCCGGAACTTCATGACGCCGTATTCGTTGTCGGCGCTCTTGATGAGGCCATCCTACTACGAGGTATGCGCTACCATCCGATAGACATCGAGAACAGTGTCATGCGGTGCCACAAGAAAATCGCAGAATGGTAAGTCTTTTTAAATTCTAATGCAATTTGGATATTTTGTATTCTATAATATTGTGTGCAGTTACAAATCTCTGTATTCTCTTATTCTCAATCTTTGTATTGGCGATTCACTACTAATAATCGAATATTATCGTATTTTTTTTCCAGCGCTGTGTTCACATGGACCAATCTTCTAGTGGTAGTGGTAGAATTGGACGGTAGCGAAAGTGAGGCCCTCGATCTCGTAGCTCTGGTGACGAGCGCTGTGCTCGAGGAACATCATTTGGTGGTCGGCGTAGTTGTCGTAGTGGATCCTGGTGTGGTACCCATTAATTCACGTGGTGAAAAGCAACGGATGCACCTGCGCGACGGCTTTCTCGCGGACCAGCTCGATCCTATCTACGTGGCGTACAATATGTGAATGAGTGTGCGAAAAAAAAGTTCTTACTCTCTCTGTATTCCGCCCTCCTTCTCGCCGATAGTTCTTATCCGATATATTGAGGCTGCAGTGGAACTTCATTCGCGAGGACGATTAGCTCCAAATAATTATGGAACAAGCGGCAAGAATTCTAATTTGTTTTATTTAACTATTTATGAAAGTTTTATTGGGCTATGAATATACTTTAAAGTTTCAAATTTGGAATCTGTGGATTTGATTATCAGATTTATAAGATCAGGTTCCGCGAGCTTTAACCTCTAGAGAACGGGAAGCCGATTTATCGGCTTTTATTGATTTAAATGAATTTAACGTGATTTCTGAATTTTATAGTAAAATATATCATTTTTTGTTCTAATAATTTTATTTTTTTGTATTATATTGATATTTTATTGTTTATACATGTACTGATATAGTAGATTGATATAATCTGTATTTCTTATCTCTCGATCTTGAAAATTTTCATATATTTCTATATCATAGATTCCATTATAAAAGGTATGAAAATTATTCTAATAAAATATTTTAACAACAAAAATTGTTTTTTTTGAAAAAAACAACAATTTGTTTATCATTCCAAACGAGAAGTCGAGCTCTAGAGCGATCTCATCTTTTTTATAGATCATTACTATGGCTTATATCTTCAAGTTTTAAATTGAAAGTTATAAAAGTCTAGAAAACTGCAAATCACCCCCGTTCTTTAAAGGTTAATCAGTTAATCAGCGCACAAGATTCGTTATTAGCACAAATGAGCAAAAGATTGAAGTAAAAAGTAAATGAACAAAAATATCACGATAAATGGAGTTCTACTGCATGTATTAAGGAATGTTAATGCATTCCAAGCAAGTATTACTGGCAAAAGGTATGTATGTACAAAACAGTTTAAAAATTCGACTGCCACAAATTCTTGAAACTGATTAAATCGAGAAATCAGTATTACATTACGTATATTATATATAATAAAAATGATCGATGACAAATCATACAATCGATGGTGAACAGTATCAGTAAATATAAAACTCGCAGTTTGCCAGCATGTTCCGATGTCCAACAAAATTTTGTCGCCAATGAATATTGCATCTTTCAACTGTCGATAACGATCAATTTCTACAATGTTGAAATTGCACAAACCGATCGTATTTTTTATTTCGATTCTTATACTTGCAAAATGAAGGATGCACGAAAATAAAGCGACACGCACAAAATCGCAGTTTTGTACATTTCAAGCCAAAGTCCTTGTGTCGTAAAATGCGCGAACATACTGATGTACATTAGTTTACAATTTCACTGCGAAAAACAGCCCCTCTCGTTGACGGGAGCAATGAAAGATTTTGTCGCAAAGGCGATTCGACAATATTCGTTTACAATCATTTTTTATGATTGTTAGTCATACATGTTTTTACTATTGAGTAGCAGTCGAATTCGATAATTATTTAGAATCGATCAGATATTTTATTCTCCCAATTTTGTCCGCACAAATGAGTATAAGTATGGAACTAGCTCAAACTCGCGTTTTAAGGATGTAGGTAACTTTGTGTAATATCGACTTTAGGGCTTTCATTTGTTTTATTTTATTTTAATCATTTACACTCGTATCGCAAAATCGGAAATGTCAAACGGACAGCACGGCCTATATTTATTAAATATAAAGATAAGATTAGAGACAGTTTTAGTAAAAAGAAATCTTAAAGTCCAATAGAAAATTTAACACAAGGGAAACTTTTTATATTAACATTTTATACAAAATGTATTTGAATAATTTTATATACAGACTGATTGAACTCTAAAACAAGACTAGCATACAGGAAGAGATTTCTTTTTCTTTTTTTTAATTAACTTTTTTATTTGAACTTTGTCTATAAAAGTGAAACGCGTCAAGCCCGGAAGTCGATCGCGATTTATATCTCTTATGACTTTCTTCATTCACAAGAATTCTTTTTTTACAAATATGTACAGTTGTTGATAGCTCTTTAATTTAATATCTTTTTAAACATATGACGACATATACGATATACACAGCATATAACGCGTATCGTTGTGAGTATTATGAGACATTGCGATTATAATAATCGCATGTTATAGTACTCACGTGTATTTGTTGCGCGTCGAAGACTGGCATTAATTGTGAATATTACCTTATTGGCGAAACATTATTTTTTTATTACCGTTATCGATTCTTTATAAACTGTTTCTGTTTTTCCATTGATAATTGTGTTATCTAATTGTGTTGTCTTATTTTCAATCCTTAACGGAATTTAATTCGGGAGGAAATAAGATTTGAAAAGAAAAGCTTAATTTTTTGCAGCGTACATTTATATTTAAGGTAATTTGACGACCTCATCTATGAGCTATTTATGACATTTGCGCGAATGAGCGTCCACGAACAATCGCAAGTATTTATCGGCGACAATTTCGTCAGTGCAATACACACACATGGCATAGTGATTTATTAAGCGCTTGCAGATAATGATTGATCGTACCGGACTCTCGATGTACACAGGCGGCTTTTGTAAATACGTAACATGAGGAAGAGATTTCTCTCTCTCTCTCTCTCTCTCTTTCTCTCCTCCCTTCCTCCCTCTCTCGTCCCACGCATGCTTCCCTATTTTGCGAGCTGTTCATTCACTATCCTTTCTCTTGTTTACTTTTATCTATTTCCCCATCTTTTCGTTGATAAGCTATCGTGCCATGTTACTTGCCTTGTGTTACTTCCGCACTTTTACGCACGGAAAAAAATGCATGCCCGTAAATAGCCACATTTGCACAGGCTTGATTGCGCTGATAGCCGCAGTTAATTGACTATTATTCGAGTTTTGTATCATTTCCTTCTTCCTTTTAAGTCCTAATTTATTATAACTACATGTTATCGCTATAATCATAATGTAAACAAAGAAAAAATACAACTTAATAGCACAGGTACTCAACTTAGCTGACTTAATCATAATTGATCTCATCTTGTTCTTGATTATACAATTTTTGACATACCCAGTGTACAGATGACTCCTCTCCAATCCTATTACAGATTTGTAATTATTCTTATAATTAGCGAGTTTCCCGAAAACATAAATTAGCCATGTGTGATTAATTGACGTGTTATTAGCGCTTCAACACAAATTTTTAACCGAATTAAATGTGAAAATAAACAGTTACAAACTTCGTTCCTTTACTATAGCATGAGAAGAATTTTATAGAATCTTTTCTTTTTTATAGAATTTGATTTAACATTTGATAAATTTCGCCTTTTGCAATGCAAATGCATTATATAGTGTTGCCTCGAAATTCAGAGATTAACTTTTTATTTTTCCAAGGAACGCTTCTCCCAAAAAGGGATTTATATATGCGAAGATATAAATTATTAAATATTACTCTCGTGGATTTAGAAGAGTCAGACTAATACAAATATTTTCTAGAGCACTCGATGATCCTTAGTGAAGATCTGGATTTTGAAGTATTTTGTATATCGAGCTTGTAATAATGTCAATCGATTTCTTTCTCCGTGCATGGAAGAAATTCTAATACACAGATACCTCCCCGAGGAAAGTAGGAAATGTGCAATGAACGATTTTTACATTTGAACGAGACGAGGCTGTTATAACTATAATGATGTCGATTATAACAGCAAGCTGCTAGATCCGTAGATAACTGGATTCTTTGGTCCTCGACTTGGATTTGTGAATTATAGGTATACTCACGGTTTAGCATTTCAACCCTTTCGCGCGCGCGATTATACAAACGAACGTTTTATAAGAACTTTGCAAGCATGTATTTTAAAACCATAGACTGTAGATGCAGTCTTAGGCTATTAGAAGGCGAAAGGGTTAAGCAGAGCATTGATGTAACAGATTATCGGATCCCTCGCGGATTCTCGCAGTCTCCCCGAGTTATTCTTGCATCTGGAAACATTTTATTCAAGCGTCTGTATGTGATCAATCCGTTAGCGCCCAAAATCTTTCACCTTAGTAATGGCCAATAATTGGATCCAAAAGATGATACCACAATAAAGTAAAGAAGAAATGGATCGAGAAGCAAGAAGTATTTATTAATACGAATACCAGATGGGCGTTAACGGACTGATCTTATGTTTTATATAAAACGGATCGGAAATGTTATTTCTATCAAGTGCATTTAATTTTAGGGAGGCACATCCTTAGTCGTGATCAAAAATGGAAAGCGATTTCGAACCTGGTTAAGATAAAGTACACACGATGCGATGATATATATGTAACCATTTATACTACGATGCATACGGATAATCAATTCCGCAATTAATCACTATACAATCACTATGCAACTTGGAAAGGAGTTTTATATTAAAATGTTACGTGCCACTATACATATAATACCAATAACAATTTTTGGTTGATTTTATACGTAATCGCTATGTTCTTATCCTATACTGGACGAGCATGACCGATGCACCAGATGAGCTAGAGAACAATTGTCGATTTGAAGGATCCTTGCGTATAGCCTTATCAGTGTGTCGCAGGTCGGAGTACATGCGTGTGTGTGTACGTGCGAGTGTGCGAATATGAGAAACTTGGTTATACTATGTATAAATGTCGATAATTAGTTAATAGGGATGTAGCATAGCGTATCGGTACATGTTTCGCGCGGCTGAAAAGTCGATCGAGAGAGAGTCGAGGAGAGGATCTGCAGCGCTGCGTAGGAACGCAGGATCCCGATCGGTCCCTAAGCTCCAATCCTAGAAATCGAATCTGGAGCCGATCTACGAATCGGTACCTAGGCCAGCACATGGTCTAAGGCTGTGTATATAAAATAACACCCTGCGTTAGAATTTATTAAGGTATAGTTTGTACGTTGAGCTATATATATATATATATTATATATACATATTATATATTATTATTATTATTATTATTATCACGAATAATATAACGGTTACTGTCTTTACCAAGCCGATAGTATCATCATGCCTCATGTATCACATTAAACGGACATATTAATATTCGCTTGTTCGTACCATCTCCGACGGCGTCCTTTCACGATCCATGCATTTCTCCCGTCTGACGTCATACTCATCTCGGAGCATGAGCAATTCCGAAAAAATTCCTGGCGGGAGGATATCTTACCGAAAGTGATAAATCAGCGACGGCTAAAGCTAGGCATTTTATTTGAAAAATATTTTTGTCACGTTTAAATCCCGATGTCACTGTTTCGTAATTGATTTATAGGCAGAACTTTACTAACCGAGAAGTATTAAATGAGTACGAGTCTTCGCGCGACACATGTATATACATGTAATACTGGTAGTACACGAATTAATTCAAGTATCGAGAATCGATCGTATAAAAAATCGACTGGCCGGAGCGAGTGTTGTTGACAATTTGACGTGTCGTAAACGATCTATGCTAGTATGCTCTTTATTGTCTAATCGATAACAATTTGTGACGGCGTTCGAGGATGCATTTAACGCATTGTTGACCTTGCTGTGATATCGTTCGCGTGTATTATTATTCAACGAGCATCTTGACAGATTTTCCCATCGAGATGCTTAATTTTTCAGAGAAAAAGAGATGAATGTGTGTGTGCGCGCGCACGTCGTTACGTGTAAGGCACGTTGTATAATATTTTAAAGCATTGGGAAGAGTAGAACTGCTACTTTTTGATCAGGCTTCATTCAGGTGATGGTATAGGCAAGCGAGATTACAGTATAGTAATGCATTAAATCGAAAATTTGTTCGATATGAGCTACTAATATGAACTACTAATTTTGATTTCTTCGCGTAATAAGCAAGGCGATTCTTTGTTAAAATAACCACCTAGATAGCAAAATGCTATAGCAGTATGCCAACAGGAAATTTGATCATGATTATATAGAGCAGATTTCTATCCACTGTGCCTTCTTTATGTTTAGTTTCTACCGTAATAATATTGCTAGTATAATATATAGCAACAGGAATGGAGCATGATGATGTCGCAGAGTCTGCTCGTTTTCTGATACATTTCTTCCAATAATAGAAAAATAGCAGACTGCAGTGTCCAACTGCTGTCAAGTTCTATTGACATGATATGCAACACACAGTTTGCAATACATTCTCTTAGCAGGTTTGGCTTCTGGACAAATAACATATCCTAACATCATTATTTCATTAATTTTTTCAACTTCTATATGGAGCAGTAGGACTTCTCAAGAGAATCTCAGTTCCTTGAAGGTTTTGTATATAGTATTTTAGTTCTTTACATGAATATTATAAGACCGCTGTCTGCTCCTTCTGATGGATAATAAGCTATACATATATCTGTAGTGTGCCTCTAATAGATATAAGGAGCCTTAGTAACGCATAGTTCATTAAAAATTTATAAGGGAGGTTTTTATGGCAAAGATATTTTTGATGGTTTGCCATTGCCTTCCGAGAAGTAGCGATCGAATAAAATTGCATGTTCTAACTGGATTTCATCATTCACAGATCAGTCTTTGGCAATCATGCAATTCGTGCGCCACGATCATCACTATCTTGATATCAAAAGTAAAAATTGATTTGATTTTGCAAAAATGAAAATTTAGAATTTCTAAAAAAGAGAATGAGAATTTAGTTGTGAAGGACGGGATAAATATAGTAAATCCTATCAGACAATTTTGAAAAGAAGTTTAGAAGCTGTTCTTGTATTTAAGATTGCAACACGGATGACGCAATAAAAGGTCTAATATTATTTTCAGGATGTAACAAAATATTGAATTTTATCCTTGTAAGAAATTTAGAGGGAGGGGAGATACTAGTGATCTAAATGAAAAAATTCTACGATAGCAGTTGCGGTATGTATCCGCGTCCGGCCTAAAATAAAATTTACGAACTTTTGGAATATTGCGCAGAAGAGAGTAATCGGGGTTGTTTCCCCGGACGATATAAAAGCTACGCCATATAAACGACCGTTACGTTGATCCTGTGCGGTTTGCATAAATGCATATGCAGTTTACAAAGTGGAGGTATTCGGAATACTTGTTGCAAATGCATGCATACGTGATCGGCGCGCCATACGCCGTCCGGTAATCTACATATACCGGCTGATAGCACAAGATGACGAGTGAAAAAATGGGACAAACGGATTTGAGCGTGCGATGTATATTCATTAAAAAGCCAGAGGCGTGGGGAGAATTCGCGAACTTCGACCGAGTCTTCCATGACCGACCCAATTCGCTGTCCGCCACGAAGAGATCGGTACACGTGCTGTATTTGCACACTGGAAAGTTATTGAAATAGCATGGCAAAATGCGATCGCGTCGTGTCACGAACGCTGCTCGCGGACGAAATATGAGGAAGTTTTAAAGTGCAATAAATAGTACACTCGTATACATACAACTCGATATTTCTCTTCATTCCATAACGAAAATACTAGCGTACACAGCTATAGTGCAGCGCATTTCCTTATTCTCGTTGTCGACAACGCGCGGGGAGTGACCCAAAAAAAATCAATATCTGCAGTGGTTCGGATTTACATGCGCTTTTTCATACGTGAATAGTTTGCAAATGAAACCAAGCGTCACCTATATATTTTATTTTATATAATACACGTGCTGGTGCATATATATTTGCGTTCATTGAACATTAAATGAAATAAACACAGCTAGTGTAATGACGGCATTTTATTTTATTCTAGAGATATTCTAGAGATATGCATACTCTTCTATATGAAAGAACAGTAGCGTAATATAAAGAAAAAAATAATGATAAGACAGCGTAAAAGTCTTACAATTAGATACAATAAAAGGAAGAAACAGAGAATATAAATATTAGGAATTAAGCAAAAGTCAGAGGCAGACAATGAGATGTTTTGTCTTCTGACCTTTGCCTAATCCTTATGTTCAATTCCTTGTTCCTTATTTTCTCTTATTGTGCTGAGTTCTAACGCGGAAATGTATTAAAAGAACACGCAGAAAAAATAGGAAGAGGATAGGAGGGAAAAAATATACAGTATACACGCTGATGAAAATTTTTTTTAGAATTTTTTATATAATTTTTCAGAATTTTTCAGGAAATTTTTGTATAATTTTATACAACCTTTTGAAAATTTCACAGATTTTTCTACGAATTGGAATACTTTTCGAAAATACTGAAAAAGTTAAATTTACATCTTTTCTAGAATTCTTCATGAATTTTGAAATGTTCTAAGATTTCTTATTTAATTATAATTTTCAAAGAAAACTTATAAAATCTGAAGAAGTTTAAGATATTTTTCAGAAATCTCTCGTAAATTTAAAATATGGAAAAAATTCGGCTCGAAAAAATATGAGATATATGAGAACTTCTTTCACCAGGGCATAAAAAAGGAAACAACAAAAATTAAAATAAAATTTAAAAAGTAAAAATATTTATAAAGACGTCGATTGCGAAAACGACGACGGCGCCGGCGCGCGAGCGAGTAAACTCGCTCCGGGCTTCGGGGAGACCCGGGTCGAGTCACGCGATTGGCTGTTCAAGCCGGCCGGCCGGCCGGCCGGCCGGTCGCGAAAGTTCTATTCCCGCTACTCCTTTCTCTCGTCTCTCTTCGTCCCTCCGACCGAAGCGCGGCAAACGTGCGAACGTGCGAGCGAGCGAGCGAGCGAATGAGCGAAATGTGTGGACGTCGTTTCCCAAGGGAAGCCGAAGCAGCCTGTTCGCCCCGTTCGTTTGTTGGCCAGTCAGTTTGTCAACGGCGTTGCTCTCACGCGCACGATCGCCGCGCATCGCTTTCGAGTCGCGAGTATAACACAAGTAATTACGGAATAACGTAAACACACCCCGTGCGTGTCATCCGTGTATCTTCTCCGACGTTGCCGTGACGTGAAATCCGGCCGGAAACGTGTGTACGTCGAGGAGAAGCGCGGAGGAGAGGAGTTCAGAGCTCGAGGTGCGGACTGTGGGTACGGTCGCGGCTCGTGCGCGGCCACGGCCACGCTGCCGTCCGCGCGAGTGGTGCGCGTTGAACGATCGATTCGGAATCTAGGTATGTACGTACATAGATCGTTATGCGCGTGGATCGCACATTCGCACGCCGGCCGGATTCGTCGGCCGCGCGCCGTGCCAGAACTGCCGGATTCCGGACCGCGACTTACCATGCTCTACGATTATTTCGACAAATTACAACAATCCGCAGTATCTGCACTCATCTAAAAGAGACTGATCGTTCTCTCGCACATTTGAAAGAAGGAAGAGAAATTATATTGAACCGCGAAAGGTCTTGCGACAGTACAAAATTTTTTACGTTTCTCATTAATATGGATCACGTATATGAATTTTTATATGGGTGAGAACTGAAAGATGGGATTTGTAATAGCGATTTGTAATAGTGTTGTATCCTTTGTCAAAGATAAAGCAAGTCATAGACATACATATACAATGACATATACATTACAATGGCGTTAAGTTATTGTAGAATGAAAATCACCTTTTTTTTTCACCTCGATTGTGATATCAGTCGTGACTTAAATGTCACGCCGGGCGCGCTGTTTGTTGCCCGTACGCGTTTACCTTTGCGGTTTGCCGGCAACATGATCATTAAACACCGATTTTTGTGTTACGCAATAAACTGTCGAGATTTTTTGTTGTTTGTAAAAAAATTGCGCTAAATTATTTGTGCAGGAATTGGTGAGCAAGATATAATATTTACTATTCGAGTCCTGCATCGGGCATTCGGTGGAATGCATGCGAGGCAACAAAAATTTATCTGTCAGCGCGATAAATGCGAATAGATAAAGCTTTTTGGTTTGTGCGAAATTGGAGGAAATAATAAAACTAAATAATATTTATTTTTCTCTTTACGAAAATTTGTATAAAATCTGATGATGAAAATTTTTTTATGTTATTTTTTAAAAAGTTTAAAATATTTTTAATTTATGAAAATTTATAAAAAAATACTTTAAACTTGTACAAATTTTATAAAGTTTTCTTCCAAAATTATAGATAATGAGAATCTTAAAAACTCTTAAAATATTTTAGAATTCACATCAAATTCAAGAAACAATGTAGATCTTTTTCAATACTTATGAAAAGTGCTCTACCTAATTCGTAAAAAATCCATGAAATTTTCCATTCTACAATACGTATGTCGGGTTGTAAGCTGTAAGCCGTAAGAACTGACTAATCGAAATCTTTTTACATTCGGCTGTGATTGATCAATTTTTACGACTTATGGCTTACAATCCGACATACAGTGTATTGTAGAATGATGTATTGTAGAGCCTAAGAAATTATAAAATTTTATAAAAATTTTGAAATTTATGTAGAAATTTTGAAAAATTATGTAAAGAAAGGAAATTTTAAGAAAAATTTTCACTATTCTAAGGAATACTTGAGAAAAGCAAAAGAAACAGAGATCGCGATTGTTATCATATCGCCAATTTATATCATTTAACAAATACGCGCTTTCAAATATCTTTTATACAATTTTTGTAAAATTAAAACCAAAAGATTCTGAGATTTCATTAATTGGCGAACGATTTACGCAAATGAGATACCAACAATACAATTAAAGGATTTTTGATAAACAAACAAAGGACTTTTGATATTTAATAATAGTCGAACAAACAGAAAACGCGGCAAACTCGAGTTCTTATATCATACGAGAAAAAAGTGAAATGAAAAATTATAAAGTAAAACGGAGAAACCGATTGGGCTTGCATTGGGCCAGCATCTCGCAGTCGCCGGGATCACGAAAGCAGGGACGAGAAGGAACGAGAAGTTTCTTCTATTTTCGAACCAGGTTGATGAGAGTGGCTCGCCACGTTTTCTAGGCTGGGATCCGCACATTATACAACTCTTTCCGTCGCTATATGCACGCTCATCCGCCGTTGTTACTTTGTCCTGGGACAGTTATGACTGATGGAGCAATCCGCGCTATGTTAGCTCGTGCCGGAACGGCATAATAATGCGACTGTGATTAGACGAAATGAGAAACATGTCACTCTCCTGTCTGCTAGCGAGATGCAATTTCGAATGCATCGAATATTTGAGAGATACCTGCTCGTGTTTTGTCTTTAATACAAACGATTCGTTAAGTTCCAGAATATTGATTCGTAGCGTGGCTTGTCCCAGAGGTGGTATTGACTCGATAAAAATTACGCGTGAGTTTTGTTATTTATTACCAGGCAATCTAATCAAATTTTTCTAAATGTAAACCAGTTTAAGCGTTCGATATGTCGTAAAATTTATTATTGCAAAGCTAGTTTGTAATTATTTCTTAACATTTCTTAATATGGAGAGAACTGTGAGAGTTATTTTTATCTAAATAATTTAGAGTTACGATCTTTAAAAATATAATTATGATAATTATTTTTAAAGATTATAACTCCTAACTAAAAGAATATAGAGAGAAAAGAATCGTAGGATATGGAGGGTGCAAGTCATATATTTTTTTATGTTATCAGATACTGTCTTATGTTTTTTTGTAGATTAGAACGTAAAAGATGCAGTATTACTTATTATTGAATTATACTTTGTTAAGATGTGTACTGAGGAGGACCCAATCCAAGGGTCAAAACGTCTACTGCAATTTATAATAAAAGTATATTTACGCTACAAGAACTGCGTCGGCTTTAAAAGGCATTTATTTAATTATTTGATTTATTATTTCAAAGCCTAATATCCTCATTTACTTATTTGTATGAAGCTTTGGCAAAAAACATTTAAAGAACTTGAAATTTACGATTCCTTAGAAATAATTGTGTGATAAATTATTTTTATGAATTATACAAAAGAAATACCAGAGAGAAGCAAATTTAGAGCCAATTTTATTATCCGCGAAGGAGTTTCTGTCTGATTCTACAAATTATCATAGTCAAATAAAATTTTTTTTTAACCGGATCCATTAAACAAGTTTGATGTCGTCTTCAAATCTATTAATGGCTAGCCTGTTTTATATCCACCACATGTTGATAATCGTTGGCAAAACTTTTACTATGCGAATTCTTAATGTGAAATGTTTATGCCAGGACACGTTCCACCTTGTGCTTTAATTGCATACGATAAAAGTGATTCATTGAGTTGATGATAAACAATCACCACATAAATGCATAAGTCGCAAGTGATGTTTACGACATTTGAAGCTCATTTTACTTCTATTAAACTAGCCCCCCACCAGTGCCAAATTAATTTTTAAATAGAAATTAAGTGCTCATTAGGTGCTCGAACCGTTTGGCAGAAAATTAAAAAAATATTGGGGGGCTGGCTTAACATTAAGCCTCCCCTCCCAAACAAAATAAATATTTATTGCGTAAATGAAAAAATAAATGCAGCAGAATTAAGTGCTAATTAAGTGCTCCAAGAACGATAAAAATAATTCAAAAATATATTACAGAATTTAAATGTCAGTCAAACGGTCGCCTATAAGAGAGAAATTATGCTAAATAATTAGATGCTTCGACAAAATTGGTATTAAAATGTTTCTTTTTTAATATTATTTAAAGATACCGAGTCGCCGAATTAAGTGCTTGTTCCTTTTGACAGAAATTCTAACTTAAACATCGATCACACGGTTGGCTCACAAGAGAGAAGTGCGATTGATGTTTAAGTTAGAATTTCTGACAAACGGAAC